GTCATCTTCCCTCTTGCAAAGCCATTTTCCAAATGGAATTTTGACAACCTTTCATACCGAGCCCTGGGAGCCTGTTTTAACCCGTACAAGGCCTTATCTAGTTTGAACACATGATCAGGGTGCTCGTGACACTCAAAACCAGGAGGCTACTTGACATAGACTTCTTCTTTCAGATAGCCATTTAGAAATGCACTTTTGACATCCATTTGGAACAGTGTGAACTCCATATGAGATGCAAAGGCAATCAGAATTCTAATGGCTTCCATTCGAGCTACATGAGTAAATGTTTCATCATAATCAATCCCTTCTTCCTGATTGTAGCCTTGAACCACAAGCCTTGCCTTGTTTCTTGATGTATTTCCAAAATCATCAAGTTTGTTCCTGAATACCCACCTGGTTCCTGTAATGGTTCGATCAGCAGGTCGAGGAACCATGTGCCATACCTTGTTCCTTTCAAATTGATGCAGCTCTTCTTGCATGGCTGTGATCCAGTCTGCATCTTTTAGTGCTTCTTTTATATTTTTGGGCTCTATTTGGGAAAGAAAATGTGAGAAGGCAAGTGAGTTTCTTGCTTTTGATCTGGTTTGATCACCTAAGTCAAGAAGAGTGATTATGTTGTCAAGAGGATGTGAACATTTGAATCTCCAATTTGGTGCCTAAGTCTCATTGGTACAGGAACCAGGCATATTTGACTGGGGTTCTTGAGTGCTTCTTACTTCACAGAGTGCACTTCCTTGGACTGCATCAACAACTCTGTTTTCAGCTTCAATTGTAGTAATCGGGGGATCAACTTCCTCTCCAATTGATGGAGATGTATTTGCATCTTCTTTACTAGATTCCTTGACATGGCTCATCATGTCTGCCTTTTCTTTTGCCATGTCAATTACTTCACCTGGCACAGATAAGGGCTCTCCATCTTGATCAACATGTCTGTCCTTCTCACAGGAGAGGTGAGCTTCATGAAAGATCACATGTATTCTTTCTTCAACACATTGAGTCCTTTTGATGTAAACCTTGTAAGCTTTGCTTTGAGATGAGTATCCCAGAAAAATTCCTTCATCACTTTTGGCATCAAACTTCCCATGATCTTCCTTTCCATTGTTATGAACAAAGCATTTACACCCAAAAGTTCTTAGATGTGTCAGCTTGGGCTTCCTTCCATTCAGCAGTTCATATGGAGTTTTGTTCAGAAGGGATCTGATCATGCACCGGTTTACCAAGTAGCTCGCAGTATTGACAGCTTCTGCCCAGAAATACTTTGCGATCCTACTGTCAATTAGCGTTGTTCTTTCCATGTATTCAAGAGTTCTATTCTTCCTCTCCACAACACCATTTTGTTGAGGTGTTCTTGGAGCTGAAAAATTGTGAGTGATGCCATTTTCAGTGCAGAACTCATAATTTGACATTGTCAAACTCTATCCCATGATCAGACCTGATGCAGGCTACTTTATTACTCATCTTCACTTGGATCTTTTTGACAAAATCAACTAACACTTCAAAGATTTCATCCTTGGTCCTGAGGAACAAAGTCCAGGTGAATCTGGAATAGTCATCAACTATCACAAAGATGTACTTCTTTCTTCCTCTGCTTGGCACCCTCATAGGTCCACATAGATCCATGTGAAGGAGACCAAGTGGCCTTGCGGTGCTGACTTCCTTTTTAGACTTGAATGAGGATCTGACTTGCTTCCCTTTTACATATGCATCACACACTTTGTGATCCTTGAAGCTTGACTTGGGCATACCACGAACCAGGTCCTTCCTGACTAATTTGTTTAACAACGTGAAGCTTGCATGACCTAGCCTCCTGTGCCATAATTTAGCATCATTATCAACATCGCTTAGGCAGCTTAGATCACCATTCTTCAGCGCCTCAAAATCAGCTACATAGATATTCTTGTATCTTTTTGCAACTAGCACTACCTCACGAGTCACCAGGTTTGTGACTGTGCAGGTCTTTGACACAAATTCCACCTTGTTTCCCTTGTCACAGATTTGGGAAACGCTTAGCAATTCAACCCGTTCACGTAGTAAACACTTTTGATGGAGTGAGAAAGAAACTTCCTAATCCTTCCGACTCCCAGAATATATCCCTTTTTGCCATTTCCAAAGGATACACTCCCTCCTTGCAAGGCCTTAAGTGAAAGAAAATCAATTGTAGTTCCAGTCATGTGCTTCGAGGAGCCACTATCCATGTACCATTGTAGGCTGCTCCCTTTAACTGTTTCCTGCACAAGAAGAGTTAGAAGTTAGCTTTTAGGAACCCAAACTAATATGGGTCCTTTGTAATGAGGAAATGGGTGAATTATGGATTTTTTGGTCCATGCAGGCATTAAGCGTTTTTTAAAAGAGGGACCAGGTTCTCTACTAGTAGTTACTTTTTCAGCAAAGGATTTGTTTTTCTGATGTGACTGAAATCTAAGGTGCCCATTATTACCACAGTGGGTGCAAAGCCAATTGTCAAGTACAGTAACGTACTTTCTATGAGGGTTGTAAGGAATATTTTTCGTTTGAAACCCAATCCCCTGTCTGTTTCCCCCATTGTTGGTGTGCATGGCAGTGATAGCATTAGAGGAGCAGGTCCACTTGAGTAATTTTTCAAGATCACTCTTCACTCTACCTATTTCTTTATGAAGTTGTTTGTTTTTCTCAAGCTCAGCACACAGACTAAACTTCACTGAATTCAGCTCACTTTCAAGCTTAATGTGTGCTTCGCTTGCAACTTCCTTTCCTTTTTGATAATTTTCAGCCCTACTCTCCATTTTAGGTTTCCCAATAGTTCCTTTCAAATCCATTACTGCCACTAAAATGTCATCTCTTTCTTGTTCTACATTTTCAATCCTTTTTTCTAAGATATTTCTTTCTTTCTTCAGGTTCTCAATTGACTCTCTTAAATCAACTACAACTATTACTAGGTCATCTCTAGACTGTTCTGCTTCTCCTAGTTCAACTGTTAAGAGATCTCTGTCATTTATAAGACTGGGATAAGCGTCGATTAGCACATTTTTCCAAAGACATGAGTTTCTTAAGAGAATAAGATTTCAGATTTCTCTGAACATCCAAACAATTTACCTCATCATCATCGTCATCATCATCATCAGACTGGGCCATCAAAGCAAAAATTGAATCGTACTAGGTTGCTTCACTTTCTACTGCCGTCATAGAGTTGTTACCTGGTTCATCATCTTCTGCAGATTCGCTTGATGAATCTCCCCATGCAGCAAGATCTTGTCTCACGACATTGTCAGCGACGTTTTTTTCTATTGAAGCGTCTGTCAGGAACCAGGTTCCTTTTGGCTGCTTTGTCAGAGTTGTTCTTGTACTGATCCTGCTTTAGGAGAGGGAAATCCTTGATGAAATGTCCTGGCTTCCCACATTTATTTCATATGTTTTTAGATTGCCAACAAGCTTATCAATAGTTAGCTCCTGCAAGTCCTTCGCCTCTGTAACGGCATTCACTTTGCTTTCCCAAGAACTGGGCAGCGCACTTAGGATCTTTCTAACCAGCTTGTTTCATGGAATAGTTTCACCAAAGAAGTGCTCATTAATGATAGAGGTGAAGAGGTTATGCATTTCTTGGACAGATTCATCGTCTTGCATCTTGAAGAGCTCGTATTCAGTTGTGAGCATGTTGGTTTTGGATTGCTTGACCTGTGTTGTTCCTTCGTGAGCTGTCTGAAGGGCTTCCCAGATTTCTTTGGCTGACTGACATGCTGATATCCTGTTGTATTCATCAGGTCTAATACCACACACCAGAATTTTCTTAGCACGAAAGTTCTTTTCCATGGCCTTCCTATCTGCATCATTGAATTCTTTCTTTGTCTTGGGAATGGCTACTGGTAGGTCGGCAAGGTTTTTTGTAGGAACAAAGGGTCCATCACATATAACATCCCATAGATTAGAATTTTCATCCATGATGAAGTCATGCATTCTAGTTTTCCACCATCCATAATACTTTCCGTTGAACCTAGGTGGTCTGTAAGTAGACTGGCCTTCTTCGAAGTTTGGAGGAGCAGCCATGAGGATCCTTTCTAGGTGTTAACCTGATAGAAAGAACCTGCTATGATACCAATTGATAAAATATAAGGGTCCACTAGACTCTATAGAGAACCAGGTTCTCTATCAGGTTCAACAGTACACACACACAGAGCAGTAAATAAATGACAAGAGGAATTTTACATGGAAAATTCCCAGCTCAATGGGATTAAAAACCACGACCTACCCTTGTAGGATTTCAACTTCACTACTGAGCAACTTTTAGATTACAACCTATGCAACCTAGGAATTAACCTCTTAATCCCTCACTAACTTGTAATACTCTATTACAAGCCGCTTTGTAATAACTCTATTACAAAGAATTACAACATGACTAACTCTAGTCAAGACTCAAACACACAGGTCTAAGGTTTACAAAGAGTTTCCTACAGAATGCTTCTAAACAAGCTAGGTAGGCATTACAATTGAAGAACTATTACAAAGTTATAACTCAACTAAGGACATACAATAACTCTAAGTGAGAATTAGTCCGTAGTTGTTTTGTTCTTTGTTCTTGAAGCACTTGAAACTTTCTTGCTGGAAAGTCATGTGAATGAGCTTCTAAAAAGTTCAAGTGATTGTGTTTTACCTCCCTTGAATGTATATATACATGTGTGACATCACTTACAATGATGTAAGCAAGGTAGCAAAAAAGTCTTCCCTGGAAAGTTGACTGCAGCACTGTTCCAACACTGTAGCGTGTGCATGCAGCAACTTTTCAGCTGGAAAGTTGACTTCGTACAGTCTCCTTGGAAACTAGTAGGGACCTATTCTCTCAGCTGTTCCTTCCACTCTGAAGAGTTGAATCATATCCCATGCTGGATCCCCACCTGGAACTTGTGATCTTAAGGTCTTGTAAATATGTAGCAGGTTCCTTATCTGGTTCTGGATACTAAGTTTGTTAGATCATCAAAACATAAAGTAAGATACTTATAACCAAAGTACTTGTAACCTATAAATAGTAGGTCCTTCTGGATTAATTATGTTTCCCCACTCTCTACTCCATTGGCAATCCTTCTGGTCTACCCTAGATTGATTGCCATTCACGAACTCGATACAGAGGTATCGACATGTATTTATGGATTACTTCCCGTTTTGCTTTTGCCTTTCTAAGTCAACTTGGTAGTTTTATTCATTTTCTCGATCCATTTTGAGCATTATTTTAGGATTACATTTCTTACATCTCATTTGAACTTGCAGGAGAATGACGATTCTCTTATTCCTCCTTCTATTCCACTTTTCAGTATTTTGCTTGGCCAGAAAACGTCTTCTCCAACGAATTTTTTTCTCTTATTTGCTATTTAGTCACATAAAATAATAAAAATATATTATATTCTATACAAATACACTCAATTACATTATATTTTTGTATAAATACATTTAATTTTTTGCCTGTATTTTTTAATACAGCCGAATATCACTGTGTTTTGTGATTTTTTGTTGTTTGAATACAGTTGAATTGAATACAGTGTATAATAGTGAATAATAAATATCTCTGAATTGAATACAATGTATACCGTCGAATTGAATAGAACGGTATACACCTTATTTTATTTATTTTTTGTTATTTGAATACAACTGAATTCAATATAGTGAAATTGAATACAATTCAATATTGCGCTTTCCGTTATTAAACACCCGTAATCACTATTATTTAGGCGGATTACCTTATTGTATTTATAAATACATTCGCACGGATACATGGAATACATAATTAAACATATGTAATCCATGTTTTTTACCTCACTATATTTATAAATACAGTCGTGCGAATACATGGAATACAACACAATAGCAGCAAAATTTATGTAGAATTGATTTTGTTGAGTTAAATTAGGAGTGATATATGCTAATTGATCCTCTTTCCGTTGTTAAACAGATGGACTCCCCTATTTTTAGGCGAATTCCGCTATTGTATTCATGAATACAGTAGCACGAATACAGGAAATACAGTCGCACAGCAGGATTCCCCTATTTTTAGGTGAATTCCGCTACTGTATTCATGAATACGGTAGCGCGAAACAACGAGTACAGTCGCGTAACAACTAAATAGTATCTATAGAAAACAATTATGTATATAGAAGCTATAGGAAGTTAATAGCTACAAAACAATAGTGATTTCTGAAAATTCCTCATTCTTAAATTCCTTCTCGTGCTCCAATACTCAATTCTCTCTATTCGTATTCAATACTACTTCACATAAAAATGTGATATTATTACATGCTTACATGAATCACCACTTGTTATGTACTTTTGTTTGTGATATTTTATTTATTTCAATAGTTAGTTTCAGCATTTATTTCATGCACTAATGTGATCACATTCAGTCGGTAGAAGTGGCCAACCTCTCTCAATGTGAGTGTCGTGATGCCAAGGTTAGCAATCCCACACTTGCAGGTGCCAATTATTTGTTGGGTCCCCCGTGCGTGTTCTCAAATGCTCGAGTATGCTGGGCCACTATATGTAACTATTTTTAGAAAAGTTATTTCATTAAAAATTACTTAATTTTCTCTTTCAGAGATCAGTTGTAGACTTAGTTTTTAAGTTCAGTTTTCAGCTTATAATTTTAGTTTCTCTCTCATTACTTGTTTACAAAGTTTATATGATTTACATTACATGATTTCCTTTGAATCTATTTTTTATATTATTATTTTTTCCAGAAGGTTTTGCTCCGCCTTTTTAAGAGGTAGCCTATGAGACCAGCTATATATTTTTTGTGGTACTTAGCCCGTTTGGGCTTGTTACATCGTGTGACAATAGGTATTGAGGATGTAGGTAACCAGGCACGTGGCTAGAAGAGACATTCTAGACTCAGTTGATAGGCTCCGTTAGTTTATCCCAGCGATAGCAGGCTCTTTTGAGACTCTTATTTATTTTTAGATATTAATATTATATTCGGGGAATACCCCTAGACTATGTATTTTAGTTTTGTCAAATTCTGGAGGCTCATGACTTGTTAGTAGTTCAGTATTCAGATTTTTTTAGATTTATCATTTTATCAACAGATTAAAAATTACAACTTGACTAGAATTAATATTAAGCATATTACATCGTTTGCTATTGAACATGAATTTATGATATAGCTAGTAGAGTTCACTCAACAACTGGTAAGAGTTAAGTGCCAATCACGTTTCATCTCAGTTTGGGAGCGTGACAAGTTAGTTTGGAGCAGCCAAGTTTAGGAAGTCCTAGGGAGTCATGAGCTGTATCCAGTAAAATATCACGTATGAGTATGTTGTGCACCATACTAATATTTAAGAGGCTGTAGGACACGTTAGGAATTTTTGTTTCTTACATCATGCGTTAGAAATAAACATACCTGAATTCTAAATCTTTTTGTATCACGTTTTAGAACAAGATGGTTAGAACAAGATCCACTTTCTTCTTTGATGCTAATAATCCTGGATACCACATGCTAAAAACCAGGAAGCACCCCCAGTGGTTTCAGTTGCACTATAGAACTAGCTATAGCTAGAGCGCGTGACAGAGGTGGAAGTTGGGATTGAGGGTAGAATGAAAGGGTAATTAAGGACGTGGTAGGGCCATCATATGAGAACAGGGTCCATCTCAACAGATATTGGTGAACAAGTGGAAGCCATACCTCCGGCTAAACTACTCATGGAGAATCAGCCACAATAGTTGGATGATCGGGTTGGCAGGATTTTTGATTTTCTGAAGTCACTAGCCCCTCTAGTTAGTGGTCGAGTTGCACCTGTTCATGCTCTTGCTTTGGACCCTCATGTTTTGATGAAGAGGTTTTAGAAGATAATTTTCAGGCCACACAAGTTTGGGGGTACCTCAACCGCCTATTCCTACAAATATTGCAGCTAGTGCAGTTACCAGCAAGAAGAAATGATCCACGCACATTTATGAGATTAAAACCTCCTACTTATAATGGTACAGACAAACCAAATGAGCCAACATTAATTTTGGAAGAGAGAGGAAATATTTATTTCTTTGGGTTGTTTTGAAACACAAGCCACATGGCTGATTAGGTTTCGGTTTAAGGGAGCATCAGGGAAATGGTTGGGAGGTTACCAGAATTTCAAAGATTCTGCATTACCGCCACTTACTTGGCCACAGTTTAAAGAAGCTTTCAGGGCAAACAAATTTACTAGCAGTCGGATAGATGAGCTCTGATATCAGTTCGAACATCTTAAATAGGACACCATGTGAGTGATTGAATATGAAATGGAATGCACCAATGGTAGAGTATGCATCCAATTTGGTACCAATATAGATAGAAAAAGTGAGAAGGTTTATTGAAGGCTCGAATCCCCTCAGGTAGTGAATATTCCTATACACAAAGAAGCGTTCGATAAGATTATTTGGGAAGCTAGAGAGAATATCAAAAAGGCTAGAAGTACATGTAGTTATAGTGGGCTTTCAGTTGGGGGAAAGAACAAGAATCATTCAGCTCAGAGTCAGTCAGTAGCTCACTCATCTCCTTATCCAACTCCATTTAGAGAGGGCCAACAGAGTAAGGGTCAGGCCTATCAGGGGCATAGTTCAACTAGTCGGAGTCAAACTCGATTCTCTTATTCTATCTTTCTTAAAAAAAGAAATATTAGGGCAATGCCTTTTGCGAAGGCACTAGAATAGACCCACAGAAAATAGAAGTAGTTAAAAGTTGGCCTAGGCAGACGACCCCTACAAAGATTCAAGATTTTCTAGGATTAGCAGGTTACTACCATCATTTCATAGTAGAGTTTTCTTCACTAGTTGCCCCGTTGATAAAGATAACTTAGAAAAATGTGAAGTTTCAATGGTTTGAAACTTGTAAGAGTAATGTTAGTATATGTGAGCTCTTCCTCACCCAAAGTGAGAAATAAAGGGATGCAAGTGGATGGGTACTTTAGAGGGTGTGAAACATAGTGGGTTCAAAGAGAGGTCACTTAAGGGGAAGAAGCACGAAACAGAATAAATGTGAAGCAGAAAAAGGGCACATTTATTTTTTTTCAGTTTTAATAGGTCAATTTTAGAGAAAAATAAAAGTTAAGAAGGCTATCTAATTTTGTTGCTTCAGAAGGTGCGATTTTGAGCTAGGGTTTCTTTTCACAAGCACTTCTATCCAAGGTTCTTCTTCAATCTTCAAGGGTAACGTCCAAACTTCTTCCAACCATGTATGACTTTTCTTCTCATTCTTCTTCTTCCTCCTCATCATTATTCTTCTTCTTCTTCTTCTTCTTCTTCTTCTTCTTCTTCTATGTTTCTCGTATCTGTTCTCTAATTTTTTCTTCTTCCTCCACCATTTTTTCCTCCTCCTCCTCCTCCTCCTCCTCCTTCTTCTTCTTCTTCTTCTTCTTCTTTCCCTATTCTTTGCTCTTTGATTTTTTCTTCCTCCTTTGCGATTATATTCTTCTACTAATGCGCTATTTTTTTCCTTCTTCATTTTTTTCGTTTTCTTTCAATCTTATGTTCTATGATGTTGGTTTAGTTTGTCTTTAATTTTATTTTTTAGTTGGTTCATCTATTATAATTAGATCTTTTCAGTTTGTTTATCTATTTTTTCTTTGCACTTAATAGATTATTGTAAATGACATTGCAAGATCAAAAGAGAGACCCTGCTTGGGCTCATACACAAAGACTGTCACGACCCAAACTACCATGTCGTGATGGCACCTATCGTGGTACTGGGCAAGCCGACCCTTTACCAAAAAAATATTATAATGATAGATTTACGCTATTTAATAATAAAACTTCATAAAGAAAAAAATTTGAATAACGAAAGTGCGAAAAGAAAAGCCCGATATCGGGGTGTCACTAGTCGTGAGCATCTACTACAACCGTCTGACAATATCAAGACTAACATAGTCTGGAATTAACTGAATACAACTAAGGGAAGATAAAGAGGGAGGAAAGCAGGGCTGCGATTGCCAGGCAGCTACCTGGCTAACTCCGATGGATCTGCATCTGAACAGTCAACACTTGCTATCGTGTCTAGAAATGCATGGATCTGCACACAAGGTGCAGGGAGTAACGTGAGTACGCCAACTCAGTAATTAACCAAAGTAAATAAAGGTTGAGAAGCAGTGACGAGCAATAAAACATATAAAGTTCATATCATGAAATCTCAGTAAAAATTCCACAGGCTTTTAAAAGCAGAGTTTGAATCAAATCATTTTGTTTAAACTCAGTTTCAGTAAAATCGTCTGAAGATATTTTTCAACGATTCTCAAACAGAGGCTCGGTACAACGGTAAGCAAAATGATGCAATCGTAGAAAGCCCCTTGGGCAAAA